TCATGATATCTTCATCTGCAGTTCATTGTTATAAATGGCATTTACATAATGTGATGCAGAAGCAATACGAGACAGTTTCCCATCCACTGTAAAGTTTTTGCTGTTCAAACCTCATCACTATTGTTTTCCTGCAGGGAAAATGTAATGTGAAGACGTGGCCTACTTTAGATGTATTATTCTGGATTTGGTATTAGATTAACATCATGCACAGAAATTATTAAAGACACAATCCCACTAAAAACTTGTTGGTTTAACTTAAAGCAATTAGCCTAACCTGGTTGCCTTAACATTTTGAGTTCATTTAAACTAGAAACTTGAGTTGAAAGAAAGATCTGTGAAAAGTTGTAATAAATCATGAAAATATTTTTTTACAGTGCAGTGACAGAAAGCACTCAGTCAATGCACTGATTTAAACTGCTTATCAGAGTAAATGACAGAGACAGAGAAACATCATTATTTCGTTCTAATGACCAGCAGGGAGCAGCTGATTGTGACATGTATAGCCTTACAGTAAAGGCATTTATGGATTTTAATGTCGAATTATTGAATTGGCAAATTGATAGATTCATGTTCTGCTATTTGTTTTTAATAGAAAACAAAAAGGGATTGGTTTAATATAGGGCAGATTAAACAAACTGCAAATCTAGACGATTACATATATTCTATGATTCTATGATTGTCTATATTCTAAATTAATATTAATGAATATGATCTGGTTAATTAAAATGATTTGAAATGAAATCAATCAATAAATAAATTAATTAAATCAATTAAATAAATAAATAAAATGAACTGAACTATTAAAAGTTTGTATATTCCGGCACGTTATTTTTTCCACTTCAAGCACTGCTGTAGTGTATAAACACATACACAAACACTATGCTTCAACTTCTGATCTGAAAACCACAGATTATAAACAACTGAAACAACAACAACTCCCAAGAGAAAACTAGTTGAAAAGTAAAGGTGTAACACTGGAGTGGAAAGACTTATTACCATCTTGAACTTCCTCACACTAGTCAAGCTACATGACAGCGTTGCACTTGAGCACCGTCCAAGAGAGTGACTTAACACACACGTGTTCACTTAGTGTACACACACCGAATCACAGCCCAGCCAAAAGTAACACCTGCTCTTAAAGTAAACAGGACAGATGCTTCAAAAGAGAGAGAGAGACTCAGTGGCTCCCACTATTACTAATACACTGTATACCAGTCCTCTCTCTCTCTGGTCTGGAGTTCTGTTAATTAAGTCCTGATAATGTCCTGCTATTTCACTAACACCTACTAACCACCATCGCTCTGACACTCTGGACCAGAATAATACAGAATAATACTAACACAACAAAAACCAATTACACCACTGTTCAAAAGTTTGGGGTCACTACATTTTTTTTAAAGAAATAAAAAATTGTATTCAGCAAGGATACATTAAATTTATCAAAAGTGAAAGTAAAGGCATGTATAATGTTTCAAAAGATTTCTATTTCAATTTCTATTTCTCTTTTGAAATATTAAGCAACCGTTTTCAACACTGATAAGCTGAAATTTCAGCTTTTTCATTACAGGAATAAATTACATTTTAAAATATATTAAAGTGAAAGAAGGTATTGTAATAATATCCCACAATATTACAGTTTTACTGGTGAGCATAAGAGAAATGTAGACAAACTGTGTACACACTGCCATCAAACCAAACCCAAGACAGAGCTGCACTTTCTGACAAAATACACAGACATCCGGGAAAGTTGATCACGAAATTAGATACACTGATGCACCACACATTTAATAATGTACTAAACAATGAAACTGTGTCTTATGAGGGGAACACTAATAAGGACTATGCCAGCATGAGTCTGTCACCACAGTATGAGGGTCAGTGAGTGATCTGACTGGAGTCTGTGTCTCCATCACTAAACACAAGCTCATTATCACTGTTTTTGGCACAATTAGTCTTATTCTTCATTCTTTCTTAATGACTTGTTCAAGCAATATTACGTCTTTAACCACTATTGCATTACTTCATTATATTTTAGTTTATTTTGCTCCATCAATTTTTTATTTGTTAATATTACTTGATTATTTGCACTGGTTTTCAATTATTTGTTTACAATTTCTCGTTCTATGCAGCTGCAAATGCTCTGGCAATATCATTGTGGAGTTTTTGTTTTTCATAATGAAGCACACTGAAACTGAAGATTGAAGAAAGAGGTGTTTCTGTGTGCAAAAAAAATATTACCTTGTGTACCCTCCTGCAGAGAATCACTGTTTTCCTTTGCCTAGCTTTATGAGTGCAGCACATCCCTGGCTGGCCATAGCTCGTTTGTTCACAATACATTTCCCACAATACATCCAGAATACGCTACATCTACTCTGCAGCAAGCTTGCCATGTATATACAGGTGCATCTCAATAAATTAGAATGTCGTGGAAAAGTTCATTTATTTCAGTAATTCAACTCAAATTGTGAAACTCGTGTATTAAATAAATTCAATGCACACAGACTGAAGTAGTTTAAGTCTTTGGTTTTCCACGACATTCTAATTTATTGAGATGCACCTGTATGTGCAATGCCAATGACATGTCAACAGCTTTCTGCACTGGCAGTGAGTAAGTCAGCTGTTGACCCCCATTTAACTTGATTCAGGAATGTAGATGTTTTACAGATTGAAGTTTAAAATATGCTGAAATAAGGAATTCAGATCTCTCTACATGCACATGTGGCCATAACATTACAAAGCTTATGCTGTGGACAAGATTGGCTCTATGTACTGTGTTTTGGGGGAGTTTAGGAGCTGACTGGCAACCATGGGTGCTTCTGATAAAGGTGTTGATGGTAAAGGGTGAGGCTTGAGCAGATGACAGATGAAAGTGGTTGAGAACCCACTTAACAGCCACTTGAAAAAAGCTGAAGTGTACTTCAAGAATGCATTGCTGTATTTGTTTAAAGGAATAGTTCACCTTTAAAAATTAAACCATAGCCATAATTTACGAACTCTCTTGCTGTTACAACCCTGTATGATTTTATTTTCATCCGTGGCACAAAAAAGATGATGTTAGGCAGGAATAACATGAGGGGGAGTAAATGATGACAATGTTCAGTTTTGGTTGAACTTCCCATAAGATGTATTTTTGGTTCACTGTTCAGACAATAACTGACTGGTTTGCTTCTTTCTATCTATGGAAACTTAACCCTGTAAAGCCTGACATATGAAACACTAGTCAGAGTCAGAATAACTTTTTCCTTTTTTTTAATGGAACAGTTTATTGAAACTCTTAGACAAAATATAGCCTAAAAAATATCTAAATTGCATATTTGTTTTATGGTTTGTATCATACTTGATACATCAGGCTTTTATGACCAATATATAGAATGATATAATGAGATTACTGAGATCATAAGTGAGAACAAAAACACTGTTTTACTTAGCGTCCCAAACTGAGTAACAATAAGCAAACTTAAGATGAAATTGTAACGTAAACCTCTGACATTTTATAATAGTATAGCAAACTACTTACATTAAATGCATATTAATATCAGTTGTCACACTCTAAATCCCAATAATTTGTCTTAGTAACATTTAAAACAAAGCTCTTTAGTTTTAATTGTTGCAAGTTGCAAGATTGTACACAACAGTATTTTTTTCAACAAAGTAGTTGATCATTTTGATAAAAAGGCCTTAGAAATTTGTGTATCAAATATGATACAGTAGCCTTAATAGTGCTAAAATAACCTGACAGATTATAGATGAATTGTCGGTAAGTAGACGGATGATCCTTAAGATGTAATGACAGAGCAGTCTGACCCCTTTCACAAACACACTCTAGCAGAATGAAATCATGCACTGCTCATGGTAATGTTATTTTCAATTTCATACCAACACAATGACACAGACTGCTCTTTATGACAACACACTATGACCCATGTGTTCTGCATCTCTCTCTTGCTCTCACAGCCCTCCTGCACATTTCCTTTGACAGCTCAAAATAAATAAATTTAAGTGCCGAAATAGTCACACTTCGTACACCAGTGATTCTTTTTTTCTTTTGTCCCAATGGAACATGGTATTAAACTGCCCATTATAAACATTTCAGCAATAATTAAACAAAACAATTATTTAAGTTGTCATTTTATTGCCTGTATGACAACTAGACCTGATCTAGTATGGACTAAAAATTGGCCATGTTGCCAAAACCTAAATAAAGTCTTAAGCTTATATCAAAACATTTCTTTGCCTTACCAAGACACACAGAGACTGCACTATCTAACCTCTGAATAGCTACCTATCAGCAAATTATAGTGTAAGTGTTAAACACACAGATTGTACATAAAGATAAAAATAACACACACAAGTTGATGCCTGTTGCATTAACATAGATGCAGCATGAATATGAGTTGGTTTACTTTGACAGAGGGAACATGATCTCTAATTTATATCAGCAGGCACATACTGCTTGTGTTTAAATGCAACAGACATAAGTTCATAAAGACTGAACAAGAAAATAAACAGTTCTTCATTCTATATTAGTTTGTTCATCAAAAATGAAAATTCTGTCATCATGTACTCAAGCTTATGTTGTTCCAAATCTGCATGACTTTCTTCAAATGACAGTCGCCCAGTCCCCATTCACTTTCATTTGTTGGGAAAAAAAAGATGCAATTAGTGAATGGTGACTGAGACTGTCTGTCTAACATTCCATTGTATTCACACAGGTTTGTAACATGTTGTGAGGGTGAGTAACCTATGAGATTACTTTTATTTTTGGGTAAACTGTCTCTTTAAACGAACTTTACGGCTGTAAATATCCCTCAAAAGCCTCACAACCCAAACCTGTCTGAATTCCGACACGTTTTCGCTTGCGTAAATATCAGGAAAAACAAACATCTGCCTCGGCTAGACAACGGAAATGTTGGACACTTTGATGCCGTGACGAGACAGCAGTCGGTAGGCTACAAGTCTCCAAAAACTGGGGAAAGCCAGAGGACTAGAGCGAATCTTACCGAGATACTGCCTGATCTCCAGCAGAACTTTAGGGGGTCCTCCGTTCAGCTGGTAAAACAGTGAGCCGAGACAGAAGAGCAGCAGTGTGGCCATGCAGAAACCATAATCGCGCAGAGAGAAGCGAAGCCCGAGAGCTGATAACCAGAATCCCTTCCTGCTGTTCCGTTCCGTGCTGTGATTGTTTAGACGGGGACTCCTGATGTAATTCTTCATCGTCTCCTCACATGGAAGCGCCGAGAATGGTCGTCACCCATCCGCCTCTTTAGATAAAAACTTTTTAGTCAACATTTAAACAAAAACTAAAGTCACTTCACAGATGGATGCGCGCGAGCACACGCGTTCAGATGGTTACCCCCCGCTCGGCCGTGTTTTCTCGTCGGCTCTAGTTGAGCTATTATTACGAATGAAGTTGGGAATCCATCCTCTGCTTTTAGGGGTTAGTGTGGGTGTCAGATTACTGAATGTGGAGGAAAAAATTCAACCGGAGGATGGACTCACACTCACGCGCTGCCGTGTGCAGTTCAGCACCGCCAGGCGGAAGACGCGTGAAAGCGGAGTCAGTGCAGCCCAAGAAAAACTAATACTAACACACATTCAGCTGCAAAACCACTAATTAGTTTAATTTTTAAGGCTCTATATGGTTCCATTCCAGCAATTTTGGAATCTCAACATGGCTCCAGGAGTAAATTGCTGAATTGTAATGTACACATTTTCAGTGGTCAAAAACCAAATGTGGGTCACTTTGCATCAGCTGATTCTT